GGGAGGCTGGGAGCTGAGGCTCGGGATTCGCAGGTCAGATCCCAGGGAGAGGACTGGGGTTGCTGCGTGAACACAGGGGCTAGTGTGCCACAGCTAGCAGGGAGGGAGTCTGGTTAAAGGTCTGGAGCTGCCGAAGAGGCAAGAAACTTTTCCTTGCCTCTTTGTTTCCTGGTGCGTGAGGAGAGGGGATTAAGAGCACTGCTTAAAGGAACTCCAGAGACGGGCGCGAGCCGCGGCTATCAGCGCGGACCCCAGAGATAGGAATGAGATGCTAAAGCTGCTGCTACAGCCACCAAGAAGCCTGTGTGCAAGCACAGGTCACTATCCACACCTCCCCTCCCGGGAGCCTGTAGAGCCCACCACTGCCAGGTTCCCATTATCCAGGGACAACTTCCCCAGGAGAACACACGGCACGCCGCAGGCTGGTGCAAAGTCATGATGGCCTCTGCTGCCGCAGACCTGCCCCGCACTCCGTACCCCTCCCTCCCCCCAGCCTGAGTGAGCCAGAGCCCCAGAATCAGCTGCTCCTTTAACCCTGTCCTCTCTGAGCGAAGAAGAGACGCCCTCAGGCGACCTACACACAGAGGCGGGTCCAAATCCAAAGATGAACCCCGGAAGCTATGTGACAAAGAAGAGAAAGGGAAATCTCTCCCAGCAGCCTCAGGAGCAGCGGATTAAATCTCCACAATCAACATGGTGTACCCTGCATCTGTGGAATACCTGAATAGACAACGAATCATCCCAAATTGAGAAGGTAGACTTTGGGAGCAAAGATATATATATGTATGTATATATATATATATATTTTTCCCCCCCTTTTTCTCTTTTTGTGAGGGTGTATGTGTATGCTTCTGAGTGTGATTTTGTCTGTATAGCTTCACTTTTACCATCTGTCCTAGGGTTCTGTCTGACCATTTTTTTTTAACTTTTAAAAATTTCTTAATTTTCTTTTTATTTTAATAAATTTATTATATTTTATCTTTCTTCCTATTTTTTTCTCCCTTTTATTCTCACCCGTGTGAATGAAAGGCTCTTGGTGCTCCAACCAGGCATCAGGGCTGTGCCTCTGAGGTGGGAGAGCCAACTTCAGGACACTGGTC